CAAAGGATAAAAGCAAGGATGATTGTTAACGTAAAAATATATTTAAGTTAAACGAAATGATATAATCTAAGGAACTTCCTAATTCAAAGATGTGACCAGAGACTACTCATAGAGAGTCAGCCAAGGTCCCAAAAAGGACTTCAAAACATGACTGATTTCTTGTTTTTTCTGGACCTAGGTAGGTGTTCGTATCAGAGCTTCTGAAGCTCAGTGGTCAATCACAACTCCTCTGCCCAGATTTTAATGGCCATGATAATGACGTGTTCGTACATATACCGCTATAACCTGTTAAATATTCTGACATGAGACGGTCCGGAGAAGATTAAAAAAGTGTAATTTAATATACAAGAGATCTTTACTATTCTGCGGTTTCGAAGAAAGCACGTTAATTGAAAACTTTGGCACTGAAGTCATTATACATTGAAGAGGACTTTTCCTTAAAGTAAAAACGAGGAGCACGGATACAAAAAGAGGAAGAAGAAAAAAAGTTAAATTCAAATTCAATAGGTTGTCTCTTTATAGTAGAAAGGATAGTCAAAATAAATTTGTTTTACACCGAAATTGTAGTTAATTGTTATTAAAGATAATAAATCACAATAAAATGACACAATTAGTAAGAACAATATAAAGAGCTTTCCATTTGAAAGTACTTATCTATAATACGGAACAACCGAATGGAGCCCCATAGGAAGGAGGAAAAGAGGACGACCCCGAAGATCCTGGAGGAACGAAGTAGACGACACCATGATTAAGAGAGGCCTAAATGATGGAGAATGGGACAACAGAGAGTGATGGAAACGGTTGAGCGGGGGAAGGCAGTGAATACTGTAGAATCCCTGAATATATATATATATATATATATATATATATATATATATCTACAAATAATTATAAAATTTAAAAAATAAATATTTAAGACTTTATTTTATTGTAATTTGTTGATGCAGATTCATTTTTTAGATAAACTGCGTGGAAATAATTTTTGACATTTAAGCTACAATTAATATAGTAAATTTCAGCCACTTCTAGTCGAAGTCGAGACTTGACCAATATAGCACAAAATTTATTACTAAATTTACTAGACAGTTGGGACTGAGTTCAGTGACCAGAGTATATCAACCTGATGGTACTGAGGCACAAATAATAATGAATAGTCTAACCCTGTGCATAACCTCTGGTTCTGCAGGAAGTTTTGAAAACATTGAACTGAAAGTTAAATATTATTTCTATTTTATTGAACTATCATATCACAACATTGTTTTATACTGTATAATAAAAATACTTATTATTATTATGATCATTATCGTGATCGATATAGTTTCATCAAGGTAATAGTTGTTGTTAGTAGTTGGTGTGAACTGTTTCATTGCATTGGTGCGAATTGAAAACCTTTAAAACGAAATTTTAATAAAAACTTACGGTATATTCTATACATTATCTATTGTTACTTAGGTACAAAGGAGAAGTAAATGATCATAAAAGGTTATATAAAATCAATAACCAATTTATCCAATCACTTGACTTAATAAACAAAATGAATTATTCCATTAGAATAAAAATGTTAAACACGGCTACAATTTGACTGCTTATGGTTGAAGTAGTTTTTTATATAGGTATAATATATAGTTATACACCTTATAAACATAGTTATACACCATCAATAATCAATTAACATTTATATAATAAAATATGAAAACAATCAAATTCTTTGTTAGTGCTCTACTTTATATTTATTCCAATTTTTATTGAAGTGAGTTACACGTCAACGTTCACGTCTAATTTTTTCTTTTATGCACCTTATCGCTAGTAAAATTTCGAACTCTTAACTATACTAATTACCAATTTGAGCTAATCTTATTGACATTGTTTTTTTGACCATTAATAATTACTGGTTTTCTACAATAATCACTTTAAAATATATTAAGGCTTTTGAAGGTCATTATCGATTTTTGGCATCATCGAACATCATTCTTAGCTCTACAAAAGCCTTTGTTGGTTTTAATACGTGATCAGTTTTCATTCCTTCTTTTTCTTTGATTTTCCAGTTTCGTACTCCTACTTCTAATGAAAAAATTTCCCCAACTTGGTTCACAAATTCTGCTCCTGGCTCACCTATCCTTTCATCCAGCTTTTAACTATATATGAGTTTTAAAGGTTCCATCATAAATTGTTGATTTTGATGATTAATTTAATGTGAGGTAGATTCAAAATTTTATGTATAAAAAAGCAGAGCCTAGAGCGCATCACCACTTTTCGTTACAGTAAACTAGCCAAAATAGCGAAGTGCCGCGAGGTATATAGATGACTGAAAAGGAAGTAGATACAAGACGAAGATGATACAAGACGACAGTTTGTATTAACGAGAGCTTGGAATATATGCAACATTTTTTTGAAAAAATATGCGCATCTATATGCATCTTTTTCATGAAAATATGCACAAATATTGACTTTTTTACGAAATATGCAATATATTATACAATTTCTCGTTTGGAAATTCTATAAAGGCATTTACAACAAGATAATTTTTAAAGTTTTCCAGTAAAAATGATTGTCTTCTATCAGTAAAAATGTATTTAGGCATAGAAAAGGGTTTTTTAATTGGACAATATTGAACTTTTGACAGTATACTATAAGGTATGTTCGTGAGAAGACTTATTTTCGTAGATATTTTTGACTATTTTAAAAAATTTAAACTCTTGATTCTTTGTTAAAGTCGCTTTGCGCCTTATTTGATATCCAACTTTACCCGGAACATTGCAACACTTAGCCATGAAAGTTTCAATGGTGGGAATGGAGTCTCTTAAACCTAATTATCCACTCTCTAACGATGTGATCATATCTGGTATAAAGCAAGATTAACCTTAATAAAAAAAAATCTTTAACTACACTTGCACTTTGTAGCAAGTCCTTACTTTGAACTAAACTGTAAGCGTCGTTCTTCATGTCCAAAATTAAGTATTTAACGGCATCAAAATGTTCAGCGTAGAATATAGCGGCGTTATTCCACGTTTCTCATCTGGTAATTACAGGTTCTGGTGGTAAACTAATTCCAGACAGTCTCTCCCTATACATGTGCACGTTTAGAGGGGCTTTATTTATACTTTCTGTATAAGGAAATTCTGAGGAAATTCTGTTCTGATGATTTCTGCTACTCGGTTTATCCCGTGCAGAAGACATGCAAAATGCACCAAATTGGGGTAATTAACTTTAAGGTTCTGTCCTACTTTTACCATATAGGGTGCAGTATCAGATAGAAGCACCAACAACTTTTCTTCTGTCACTGGGTTTGGAAAAGAAAGAAAGAAAAAGAAGCTTGATAGAGACTACTGTATGAATCTGGATACCGTCACATTATTGGTCTAACTGCTTCGAAGCTATTAAGTATGCGTTTGTAGAATTATTTTCTTGAGGTGCTCCAATCATCAGATGTGCTATATATCTGCCACAAACATCGGTACCTTCATCCACAACGATGTTGAAGTTTTTCTTTTTGATGGTCGAGTCATCAGAAATGAAAAAACTTCTAAATTGGGGATGCTGCAGTTTTCTTAGTGGTATGTTAACTGCCATCATAGTTTTACACAAGACTTCTTGAAAAAGTTGCTTCTGACTCGGAAGTACCGTTAATCCACGTCGCAGTTTTTACTATTTTCTCAATTTTTAAAACCAATTAAAACTCGCTATATATATGTTAACATATCAAAGCTTTTCGATAAACTAAAAATATTAACCTGAGTTTAGTTATGCCTACCCAAAATTGAATGTGCAAAAAATTACCTAAATACGACCATTCAACTTGGAAATTCCTTAAATTCTTCGACCTTATCAGAGGGAACTGTTAAATATAATTTTTGGGTGTAAAGATGACCATAATATGCAGGTAAATTAAAATGTTCTCAAAATATGTATTTTTTTTTTAAAACTGACAAAATATGCAAAATATGCACGTATATGCAATTTGCATATAATCCGCGCTCTAGTTATTACTATTTTATTCACAATGGGAATATAATTTCTCTTTATTTATTATTGTTTGCTATGGATTTTTAACTTTCAATTCACAAAGTCCATTGAAGAAATGAAAATGCATTAACAGAAGGTGACATTTATTTTTAAATAGTTGATAAAAAAAAATAAAACTATATCCAAATCAGGAATAAATTTAAACGGATTAATACTGTTAGTAGCAAGTATGAATGATTTTCAGAGAGACAGTACCTGCCTCTAATAGCAAGATTTGAAAAATTTGAGGTTCGTTTTAAGGGGGCGTTCAAGTATTACGTGATGCAATTGTTGACACCACCCCCTCCAGAAAAGCATCGTGACGTTTTACAAGACCCTACCCCCCTACCTACACATTACGTAACACCCAAGTGACCATTTTTGCCTAAAAGTAACAATTATGTTGCGAAAAGTACCGGGAAGTCGGTAAAAAAAAACTTGTTATTGTTTTAATCGTATTTGCAGTAAGAGATTTTTAACTCGCCAGAATAAACTTTTACTGCAAATTTTACAATGTTTTACGTTTTCCTTACTTGGCTCCATTGTAACATGCATCTTTAGCTTCATCCATTATGGTTCTTATCAAAAAATATATAAATTTTATGTGGTAAGGTATTATAAAATATCCTGTAACCTTGCTATCGAATCTTAAAATGTAAATCTGATATATAATACCTTTAAGTAGAAATACCGTTTTTAATTTTTTTAAGATGCGCTTAGCTTTTTGTATTAATCCTTTTAATCCATTATAATAGAGTATTTCCATATATACAGCCTACTCCACCCCTTAGCCCCATACCCATCCACTACACTGTCGGTGCATAGTCAAGAAGCCACCTCATTCGACCTCCCGCCATTCCCCTCTTTTATACCTTTTCCTAACCTAACAGCAACGCAACGGGTTATTTGAAATCGTACGTGTTTTAATAAATGGACACAGTTTTCACCGTTGCCGTGTCCAGTATGATTCAGAATCAGTTCTTTCAGTTGTCAAAGGAGTTCACGAACGGCTTGGAACGGTGTTGAATTACGCTACGCGAAAAAACGGTATCGATTTTTTTGCTTTAACCATTAGCTATGACTGTTTCTGTTTTCTCCAGTTTATACGGTGGTCTTTGAGGAATTTAAACGGTGACGTGAGTGTCTGTGACTGTGTCTTGTTTGGTTTTTACCATAGTAAACATATTTTAAAGTTAAGGTTAGTATTCAATAAATATTTTGGAGATAACGCTGTTATCATTGTTTGGGTGATAACGCTATGACGCTTTTTTATGGTACATTAACTTTTATTTGATGTTTAAAATGTTAAATGCAAGAGCCACACCTGTTAGTAGAGAGTTGGGTAGGTAACAAAACAAATCATCGCCGTTGTCCAGTGACGTGCTTACAGGTTTTTAAATTTTGTAAACAATGATTTATTCCTTTACGTCCTTTATATTGACGCTATTAAATATTGGAATATCTGTCTATTACTGATTGTTTACAGTTATTATACAAATATTTTAGAATAATTAATATATATTGTATAGTTATCGCCTAAAATTGTTTCATGCATAAAGTCACTTTGTGTTCTCTTCATTAACTTGTATTCTTTTGACAGTTTACTTCCTTATCGTATTCCAGTATACTTTTTTCATACGTTCTACTCAGTTATCTTACTTTCGGCGACACCTAATCGCCACACTAGTTTGTCTATACGCTGGTCCACTTCTAGTCTCTCTTGCCGTCCCCTTCTTTACGTTCTCTAGACTTCCAGTTAAGATTTGTTAAAAAAAGAGGTTAGTCTTTGTAAAGATTTGTTGTCCGCAAGATTTGTTAGGATCTTGTTTCTTTCGCACTTCGTTTGTTTGTAATGTCGTCTGTTTTTGTATGGACTAAGTACTACTATTGACCTACTGAAAGACTTATTAGAAGATCACGAGGAAGATCTCCAACAAGATGGATCGATAAAATTACAGGCATACAGGCACTTAAAAGAAATGACCACTTGACGACGGAGTTGTCCTGGCATTGTATATTTTCCTGGAATGAATTCGCATATACTCTCATTTCTTAAACTTTTTCGTAGCGATATTCCTGCCGATTTTCCCTAAAAGTCCATTTCCACAGTATTACATTATTCGATAACGTTATTCCTTTTTTCTTGACTACATCTTTATCTTTATTCTGCAATTACTTTATCAAGTGCACATGCCATCATCTGATGTAGTCAGTCCTTCATATTTGTAAACTCTAGACTAACATATCTGTTGTCCGATTTGAAGCAGTAGGTTTTGTGGCATTCCTCCTAAACACATTTATTTTATTTTTTTTGCCTCATATCTTATATTCATTGATAATCTGGACGTCATATATTTGATGTAGTAGTCATTCATGCACTAAATCTATTTAAGCAGATCTGTTGATTTAAATAAAAATAGCCATTATGATTGCTAACCTCCGTAGGAAGACGGCACTCTAAAAAGAAAACAAGTATGTGGTAATTTGCGAAGCATAGTCATCATATTATTGTCTATTACTTAGTTGTATTCTATTGTTTCTTTCTACATTTTTTCTTCCAGGATATTAATACTTGTTGGAAATAGTTTTTAAATAAAGTAGTAGTTAATAGACAGCAATTCTAATACAATCCTTTATTGGCGCGAAAACCATACATATTATTTCTTACTTTAAACTGAACAGAGCTGTCATCATTATCATGACTCTACAGCTCTTCGTGAGTCTTAGCCTGCTGCAGGGCGTCCTCGTTTTGGACCATATCCTTTCTTCTCCATCCTCTAATCCCAACTATTTTGAGATCCTTTTCTAAATCGTCGAGATATCTTAGTCTAGGTCTTCCTCTAGTTCTACTTCCTAGATTTTCTGGGTTTTGGAACATAGATATTCTGGTGGGTTCATTCTTAACACGTGACCAACCCATCTTATGCGTTCTCTCTTTACTTCTTCCACCATACGAGGGTCCTTATTGAGTCTGTACAGTTTTTATTTTTTCACACCGTAGATTTACGATCGAAACATCCCTACAATTCCTCAATATACTTTATCAGTGTTCAGGTTTCGGTGCCATACTTTAACACCGCGTGTATCAGAGTTTTATAGGATTTAAGTACTTTTTTTTTGCTCGGACAGGTTTCTTGATCTAGGTTGAGGGAGCAGACATAGCATCTACTTGCCAGATTTAACTTATTTCGTAACATATTTATTTACTTAATATATTATTTAAAAATCTTTCAATCTAGTTATTGAGTGAACCATCAAGTCATCATTATCCAACCTTTATTCCTATGTGGGTTCGACTTTCCTGATGGAATTTTTATAGTAAGTTTGCCCCAGTTTTTATCTTGAACCATACCAACTTTAATCTATTCACATACATATCTGGTTTAAGCATTTTTCTCCAATCTTAATTAGTTTGCCCCTTCTTCTTCTTTCAAAAACTTAAAAACTCAGTAATTCTTCATAGTGAACGGTTATTATTTTGATGGTAAATGCGTTTAAACCATCTCAAACTATCTTCTCATTTTATCGTCAGTTGGGAACACAGACTTTCCCTAAATAATTCATCATTGGATTCATATAAGGATTAGGCAAAATACAAAAATTGCATACAAAAGCTTAACCGTTTACTTTAAAAACGCATTTTGATTTTTGTCGATAGTACACTTTGATCAAAAGATATCGACTTTTTTACTGTCGATTACAAAAACGCTGGTCGCTTCCAGCTTTGTTTCTGAGAGCACAGTTTATTCTACAAAAAAAGTGCTAATAGACATTTTTGTTCAAAATTATCCATGTTTTCGGTTTTCTACCGTCCCTACTAGGTGGGTTTTTACAAGGAAGCCTGGAAGTAGGAGTGGCAAACATTTTGCATCTTTTAGAGGTGATAAAACCTTTGAGTGAAAATTTGATTAGTTTTAAAATAATTTCCAAAAGTATTTGAGCTTGTTTTAATTAATTTACATGGTATTAAGCTTGGGCTCTTCTTTGACCTTGTTTTAATTAATATATTGTCTTTAGAGATTAGGCTTTGCCCATTCTGTCTTCAGAAGGATATTATTGGGAGTCTTTCTAAACTATTCTGCTTCCTTTTGAATTTCAATTTAATACTTTTTTTAATCTTACTTTTTTTTCATTCTGTAAACATGTAATAGTATATTACATAACGAGAGTTGTAAGAAGCTTATTACATGCGAGTAAAAAAGTTGGGCGCGAGCCGCGTAGCGGCGAGCGCAGTAATGTTACAAGCATGTAATAAGCTTACAACTCAAGTTGTGTACTATACTTTTTCTACGATTATTTTCGTTTATAAAAATAAAAATTAAATTACTTACCACTATATTTACACTGACAGATTAATAATTTTTAATCTGTCAAAATAACGTCTGTTAATTCGTTTCCATGGTAACTCGACCAACTGACTTACGAGGCTTATGTGATATTACACATTTTTATAAAACTGAAGCGTAATTTTTTTTATTGCGTGCTAGTCATTACGTGTCAGTATCTGTTATGATGCATTTACTTAGCATCCAAATAGTAGGTAATATACAATTTACTAGTAAGAGAGTAGAAAAATACTATAACGTAATCTAACATATTTGTATTATAATGTAATCTATTTATTTTTATAATTAGCTTCTGCTCTAATAGTGTATAGCTAGCTCATTACGTATGTCTTCATTTCTGATTGGATCTTGCTGCATGTTTCGTGTTTTTTATCATTTATCATTTATCGGACATTTACTCATGGATATATGGCTAAAGATAGAGAAATAGTTTTATAGAACATAATAATTATCGTGCCCTTCATTGTTTTATGATGTGGTGATTACAACTTATGTTACTATAAGTAATATTAATATTAAGTATATTACTTATAGTATCATAAGTTGTATCTCATTTCAACTACTTGATCTATCTATTACGACAATTATTTTTAATAGAAATGCCTGGAAATACATATTTGAGATTGTATTGCCTTCACTTTAATTAGGAATATATTAATTGAACAACCAACCAATCGCCTTCCTAAACAAATCAGGAGTCATAAAAACTTAATAGCATCATGCTACACGAATATCGTGAACCGGAATATTTAGGAGAAGACATACATCTAGAATGAGCATTGAAACAGAACGATTAGGCTTCAAGACACATAAAGCGTTATGTACGTCCAAAAATAGTTAACCATAATATCTAACCACAACAGAAAGCAAAAGGTAAAGTTTTTTTGCCATATACTAAAAATGCTACAGATCGAATAGGAAAAAACCACTCCAGGAATTTACTTGTAGTTCTGGTTCACTGTATACTGGAACAATAAATCGTAGTGTAAAGATTTGTTTGACTAAACACAGGAATTATGTAAGTATTGCCTTGGTCAATGCGAAAAATCAGCCTTGACAGGATACAAAATCAAACAACTAGACCACAGAATTTTAGTTGAAAATCACATGCACTTGAAGGAATACTATTATAATATGTGTAAAAAACTGGAAGCATTTGAGATGTGGTGTTATCGCAGGATTCTTGGAAATTTGTAGTTTTATTTATTATGTACAAACGAAAAGCATACTGGAGTACTTTGGTCACACATTACAAACCTATATGTACCAACTAAAGTTGATAATTGAAGGAGAAATCGAAAGAAAGTTCAAAGACACCTTTCCTTGCTGAAGAATCAGTAGTTGTGAGTTAATCATCGAGCAATAAGACAAAAGAGGGAATGTAAAGGTAGAAGGGGTAAACATATTGATAGACAGGAAGTGCCATCTTGAGAGGCCACTTTAGACAAGGATAGACAGTCTCTTTCCTTGTTTAAGAAGTCAAATTTAGTTTGGTTATGTTATTGTTTGTCCCAACTGTCACATGAAATTTTATTTATATTGAAGTTTTTTACCAATTATGTCACTTTTTAGACTATTATCGTTAATATTTAATTAAAACTTTCTAGTCTGAAAAATATTTTATAGCTATTGTTAACAAATGTTGGAAAATTTAAATTTAGCGCCTTTGCATTTCCGGATATGTCCGCCATCAGAGGCCACTTTTTTGGTCTCCTTTTCATAAGGATTAGATTCCCTCTTTTGTCTTATTGCTCGATGGAGTTAATACAATGCTTCATTAGAACAGCATTGGACAAAGTTCAAACTGCTCTAATGATAGCCAATGTTCGAACAGAGTATGGCTCGTAACGGC